AGTCAATTACATATTACCCCTGTGACCATGGTCACGACTCTTTGCCTCTCAGAACCTCCACTTCCTCTCTGTGGACTGCAAGGTATTTCTGTAGAATACAGGAAACCCTCACCCTCAGTCAAGGTCCTGGGGGGAAGAGAGGTTGTGATTCAGGTGGTTTGAGAGATTAAAGGAGGAATTACTGATGGAGGCGGGCAGGCTGAGGAACCAGCATGGATGCTGAGGTGCCTGGCGAGGCGTCATGGACAGACAGTGAGAGGCTGACAGGGGCCCAGCCTGGACAGTGAGGGAGGAGGACAGAACTCTGGAAATCCACTAAGAGCTGGGGAAGGGTCTGCCCCAAGGTGCTGTGGTCAGGGAAGGGTGTAGCCTCTGCTGGAAACGTGTGCCAGGCAGGGACGGAGAAGAAGAGGATCCTGGTACACTGCCATCTCCTGCAGGCACCTTGGAGTGGTACAGGGCCAGGGTCCACCTCAGCAGCACCAAGCAGGGAAGGGTAGCTTTGAGAATAGATCTGGAAGGGGACCGGCCAGTGACAAAGAACCCATCCAACCTCTAAGGCTCTTTATTACCTGACCATGGTACAGTTCAGTGGAGCCCTAAGCCTCTCTTCCTGGGCCAATCTCTATATTCCCACCAGACCACAGGATGGCAAGTTTGTAGGGCTGTAAGATACATAACATCTCTGTCTAGGATGCTGGAAGGTCAATGGGTAACTGATGAACTCTTCCAGAGGCCGATTCAGGGTTGGGTGTCCCAGAGTGCTTTTGTACTGTTTTCTAGACTGTTAACTCACTGAGGATGGGCTATGTCCATACCTCCTAGAGCTGGCCTTGTCCACACCTGGCTCTTGCTAACTACTTGTTGAATGGATAAATAAATGAATGAGTGGTCATAGGCTTTGTGTCACTCCCTGCCTCTGGCCTGAGGCAGGATTACTGGCTCCCTCGACTGTGCAGCTTCTACACCCTGTGTGTATGTTCTGAATCCCCTGGTCATGCTGCATTAGAACAGCTGTGCCTAAGGGGCTTGTTTAGGGCAACCCAGTTTCCCCAGTGTCTCAGGGTCTGGCAGAGATTGGGTGCTCATCACATGTTCCTTAGATTGACTCTGAAAATATTGACAGAGCTGCCCTGGGCTCCACAGAGAAGCTGTGAGCTCCCTTCCTGACTCTGGATCATCTCCCTCTCCTTTCCCTCTTCTCTGCCCACCTGCCCCCAGGCACCGGCTTGTTAGAAATTCCATCTCTTATATCTTGATACGTTAGTCCCTGGCGCCTGACCTGAGCATTCTAATAAATCATTTCCTGGAGATGTGAGGTGCCCCTGGGTCTTGGTAAGGAGGTGGCTGAGTACAGCTTATGGGAAAAGGGTTGTGCCTTTCCAAGGGGCAGCATGGTTGAACAGGCAGGGCCCTTGTGTGTGCTGATCTGGGCTTCATGGTGGGGGTGCAGAGGGAGAGACATGTCCTAGCCTTCATGAGGCTTCCATTTGAATG